TCTGTCCGACAAATGCCTTGTCGTACGACCAACGTATGATGCTCAGCACGAGCATACGAATGAGTACACACAAAAGCCGGTGGTAGAACGTGGCAATTTGTCTTTCAAGCAGAATCTGATAGTGGGGCTGGAGTTGAAGCTCAAACTTTATTATTATGCAACACTCTTCGTACATGAACTCACATTAAACCTTAATGAAAACAGAAGCAGAAAAAAACGAAATGTCCTTTACCGCATGCCGGTGGTAGCCTACCGTGACCAAGTAAACACCACTCTCTGTTGTCAGTGTTCCACGCCAGACTGCGTCGCATAAATCAGCTGTCAGCACACGACACGTACTCATGATGATGGGGCGTAAAAGCTTTTTGACATGCGTTTGAAAAGTGGAAATCACTGGACATGGTGTACTGTAATAGGAACAGCAACAACAAGAACAATGACTCTTTGTCAGAACTCCGAGATTCCAATCGCTGCGCCTACTTACAGGATTTTTTTTATTTTAGCCATGAAATGGAGACAGTAAGCGTACCGTTGATGGATGCGGTTTCCGATAGCACTGCACTTGTTCAGAGATGTTCATGCATTAGTAATTGAAACAGTCATATGTGTCGGCCTGGAGACGGTCTAGACAACCTACGAACAATTGTTCCCTCCCCCTTCACCCAGTCTTCAGATCACGTGACCATCACCGTCATCACAATTTGTCTAGGAGGCACCGATCCCAAAGATGACTGTTTCCAGTAGTTCTCTTGAAACATAACTCACTGATGAAGCCTAGCCTAGAGAAGTCATCATACTCATCGAGACAGCATGTTTAGTCGTTCATTTCGGGGGATCTCTAGAAAAGAGGACAAGTCTATTAGATATCAAGTTCTGCCAAGTGAAAAATTTGTTCGTTCACTTTGGCGGGACATTTGTATCACCATCGGGCTGTTTTCGAAAGTGGGTTGTCCTATAGTAACACACAGTGTGAAGAAATTTCTCCTCTGTCTATGGGGGTCACAGCAAGAGCCTCATCAGCTGCAGTCTAATTGAGAAGTAGCTTATATCAACGGACTACACTCATTTGCAAACTAATTTGGTTTTGCGAGAGACTCACCTGGAACCCAAATGAATCACTCAGATTTGATGTTTCCAGGTAACTGAATGTGCTGCACCAGGCCGCCTCGCGTTTCAGTTGCTACGACATTCGAGATATCGCAATACATCAAAACCGAGAGATTCAGCTGGGTTCTAGGCGAGTCTGTCGAAAGACCAAATTAGTTCGTAAGTGAGTGTATTACGCTAAGCTCGTGCAATTTGGTTTCAAGTAGAACATAAGGTTGACGGAAACTCGGGGACTGCACCTACCTGATGAGCCCCAAGGAGGGCGAAACGGCCGTGGGCTGTCGAGGAGTTTTCAGCAACCTTATGAGTAATGCATTACAAAAATGTATAGTTTATATCGAATTCAAATGTGATCCTACAAAGGAAGTCGTTGTATTCTGAAAATCCAACAACCACAATGCAGTTCTACTATCCAAGTTTTGGATCGTAAACAATTTAGATCTCGTAAAACCTCAGTATGTTTCGAATTCATGGACTTTCAGCTCAGAACGTAACGGGACTACATAACTGCTAATGGAATAACCGTTTTTCGTTGAGACATATTTCATTGGTTGTTCTTCACTCGCCCTTGACCGCTTGTACGCCACAGTGATTAATAGAGCAGCTAGCTCGCACGTTCATTTGCCTTTTCTGGTTTGGCCAAGCGCACCAGGCGATCAGGCGGCTATCCAGACCGGGATTCACGGTAATAAGGCATTAAGGGACTGTGGTCCATAACAGAATCACTTGGACTGCGTGGAGAATCTGCACAGGTTAGGACGGAAGCTATGGGTATGCGCAACTGAATGGGCAAAACATTAGGGCTGAATAGAACTGGCTGCATTAGAAGAGTTTGATCTTCCCGTCCGACTCCATAGTAAACCAATCTCTACGCTTAACGTGAGCCCTAAGCTGCGTGCAGACGCTTTCTGCTCGCACGTTAGGTATGCAGGTCAATTTCCCAGCTCGGCGAATAGATCGACAATGAATAAAATCACCCGAGCAAACAATATTTTGAGACTGAACCGTATCGCTGCGTGGCAGCGGATTGTTTCTTAAAAAAACACGTACTGCTGTATTTGTATTTCTGAGATAAATATAATTAGATCAACTTTGTGACTGTACTGCGGTGAAGCATCGTTCCCACAAGTGACATCGCTGCTTTTGACGCTGCCGGTGCTACTGATGATGCTAATGATGATGAAAGTTTCCTCATAAAACATTACTTAAACAAATGACCATACATTACGGCGACTTGCACATACAAACCCCGGAGGTGGTTCTGTAAAGCTAAGGAAGATGTGCGTAGGCCAACAGAGAAGATGCTGGTAGGCCGGTTGAATGATGACTCATGTTCATCTTCTTGTTAGTGTTTTCAGCCTGCACTGTTCTGCTATGCCGGTTTTTAGCTAGCCCTTCGACCGAATTCTGAGATAGTAGTTCATACTATGTCCTTTATCCCGTCCAAGTGTCAGTTAATCAAACTGATGATCAGCCACTCGTGGCCGAATGTTCAAGCACTCAAATTACTGGTCAGGAGGTTCGAAGCTGCCTACTGAAGTCTCGTGAGATGCGTACTGCTGATGATTCTCAGCAAGGCTTCACAGATTTTCAGCACAGATTGGTTTCGCTTAGAGAATGAAATCGCAGTTCTCACCAAGCTCAATCCTAAAATTTTAGAGCTGCTGTTAAACACTTTTTGTCACATCCCATTGAAGTCATCAGAAGAGAAAACAATTGAAAAACCGAATTATCTTCTCTTAGGGTTTGCCAAAACGGCTCTTGTTTGGAGAAGTCCAGCTCGATGATAGGCGCATCGGGTTTAGAGGAAACTTCAGAGACGAAGAACAGGCCCTTTACCTCCCCAGTCCTTCTGAATAGATCAGGAGCTGTACAATCTTGTCTGATGTCCTCGTGGAGATCAGCAGTCAGTATTTGACCCACAAAGTGTATTCATAAGAAACTTGCGCAACATTGGAAGTTGTGTTGTTTCCACGACCTGGTGTGGTTCTAATCTGACACATTCGACTCTCTAATCGTGTAATCTCGCGTTTGTTCTGACATTTTTGGGTATACTTGGGAAAACGTTTCAGGCTGAAACGATTGGTAGTTACAGCAGGCTTCACGATTACATGTGAACTGATACACAAGCAGTTGTATTGCGTCAACACGGGGATTTCCGCACCACAGCTGAATGAACACTGTCACGGCTTCAAAGGCATTACAAGAAAAAGGTTATACGTGTGCACCATAAACCAACCGAGTGCTGCGAGTATCCATCATGTTGGCGGGCAAATGGGCCAACCAATAGGAGAACGAACATGAGGCCATTCATCGAATCGATGGACCTGAACGTGCACGGCAGATCGATACACCCATAACAACTAAATAGTGGTTTCCTTAGATAGGAACCAACATAGCGTTTAGAAATTACTTTGTCAACAATGGTTGTCGATGTCCTGCGCCCAGATACATTAGTTAATGAGCTGTGATTGATGGTCATTTTCTTTCAGGGTCACAAATTCAGGTTTATGTACGGAAATTCGGATGAATTCCTGATTGCTTGAAGCGTGTTGACCAGTCAGAACGTGGTTAGTTACTCGGATTTTGTGGTGATGCCAGGTGTTCGGAGGAAGGGTAATGCTGCTATGCTCCATTCTCCTAGAGACCTCTATTACGTAAGTTCACTCGGGGGAAGCAGCTTGTCCGCGCTGGGGACAACTCGTCACCGGGATGTCCATATTTGTGGTGGAGAGGCGGGCATTCTGGTCCACATTTACTACTTTGTCCAATTCTGACTAATAATGGTGAAGCCTGGCGTGGGCCTCAACCGATTGCAGGCTCCCATGTTTGATGTTCTCCCTAACTATTATGAATCACCACAGGCGGGGGCTAACCGGTTTCCGAAGCTGGATTGCCCACGCTTTAGGCTGTTGATCACTAATCAACCTAGTTAGCGATGTGACCGGTCGCGTAGAAAGCTGACTACAAAAGACTGTTGTCGAAGGTTATCTGTTGCTATTAATGATGGAAGCATCACCTGCACCGAATAGCTTGTGCAGCTGAAAATGATCAGATATTCAGGTGTGAGATCGCCTGAACCCCTGGCATTTCTGGTCGGAAACAGTAATCAGGCATATATCGATTAGGACGTCGTTACAGCGTTGCTGGATGGTTTTTATGTAGTCTAGAATGTTCCGCTTGGTTAGACCTCCGATTTGGTATACACAATCCAGTTGCCACCAGTCTATGTAANACCTAGTTAGCGATGTGACCGGTCGCGTAGAAAGCTGACTACAAAAGACTGTTGTCGAAGGTTATCTGTTGCTATTAATGATGGAAGCATCACCTGCACCGAATAGCTTGTGCAGCTGAAAATGATCAGATATTCAGGTGTGAGATCGCCTGAACCACTGGCATTTCTGGTTGGAAACACCAATCAGGTATATATCGATTAGGACGTTGTTACGGCGTTGCTGGATGGTTCTTATGTAGTCTAGAATGTTCTGCTTGGTTAGACCTCCGATTTGGTATACACAATCCATTTGCCACCAGTCTATGTAACTAGGCTACTAATTGTTATCGAGAGGGTATAGTTTCCACATGACAGTTATCAAATTGTATGCGTTGTGGAGTGAGCTGTGGACTGGACGCAACAGGGTCACGTGACAGCAAATCAGGAGTCTATCCAATTGCATTACGCCAGACATGTGCAGTTTCTGTAAAATCATCATGCTTCGCTTTGAAGAACTACTCTAAATTCTCAGGCGTATTGCACTACTCATAAGGTTGCTGAAGATCCCTCGACATGACTGGTTTCGCTATTCTTTGGGCTCATCAGGTGGGCACAGTCCCCGAGTTTCCGTCAACCTTATGTTCTACTGGAAACCACATTGCACGAGAGTAGCGAAATACACTCATTTGCAAACAAATCTGGTTTTGAGAGAGACTCATCCGGAACCCAGCTGAGTCTCTCATTTGTGATGTTTCCAGGCCACTGAATGTGCTGCACCAGGCCGCCTCATGTTCCAGTTGCTACGATATTCGACGTATCGCGACACATGTATAGAAGTAACGCACTTCTCATGAGGTTACTGAAGATTCTTCAACAGCCCACGACTGGTTTTCCCCTTCTTGGGGCTCATCAAGTAGGCGCAGTCCTCGAGTTTCCGTCAACCTTATGTTCTACTTTAAAGTCTTTCTGTTCCACAGTTTTGTCGAGAAAACTTAGCGTTTGAAGGAGATTTCATTTTTTAAGTGAAGCCGTCGTATACACCATTCATCCCTCAGTCACGGGAACGGTGTCACGTGGTCATACGTTTTGAGTAGCTCCTGGGGTGACGACTTATCAGACGGACTGAAGGATGGGTGGTACTATATCCTGTCCAAATGTGAGTTAATCACAGAAGCTCATGACCGAACGGCTTTGTTCAAACTACTAACCAAAAGTTCGCGGATTCGACACTCCGTACTGGCGTTTCGTGAGATGCGCACGACTGACGATTCCCAATAAGGGTGATATTTCTATGTGACTTTTCAGCGCAGGTTGGCTGTATCTACAAGGAGAAATCTCCATTAAAATTCCGGAATTTACTCACGCTATGAGAGACGTGATTTCGCCAAAGCTATCCATACCTCCTTTTCAAGTGTCTAAAACACAGTTTCCAAGTAAGCCCTCAACTTGACCGCGAACTCCATGGATAATCGAAAAGAATCGAGATCCTAATAAAAAACGTTTAACCCATTTAGCAGCCATCCATAATTCCGATATCTGTCGTTTCTGACGTTTTCGGGAAATCACGTTCCTTAGGCGCTCCGTTGGCTATGTTTTTTAAT